CGTAAGTTTTTAAGAAAAATTTTTCATGAATTTACCTGGCAAACTAAATTGAAATTATTTAAATATATTGCATTGGATTTATATTTTTTCATAATATAGGATAGTGAAAATATACAATCTTACAGATTTATATTTTATTCATGATGCGGGATAGTGAAAATATACAATAATTTTAGACAAATCACTTAGAAAAACTTTTACAGATTATCTTGAATTTTCTGATGATAAAGAAGATTTTAACGTAATCATTAGTGCAGGAGATAAACACAAAGATATTTCTAGCACATTCGAATGTTTTAAGATATAGATTATTGTATTTTTGTGACAAATTAGCAAACATCATGTTTCTATTCAACAATTTAAAATTATTATTAAGTAAGTTACAAATTCATATATTATAATATATGAATATATGTATTTCATTTATATTTTATACTTATTTATCAAAGAAGCTTTCAGTTTCAGGAATTTTGAAAAACTGTTTGGCGTTACTATATGATATTAGCGTATTGATGAGTACTGGAAGTTGGTAATTTGATAATTTGTAAAATGCCGATATATATAGAATCTAAATACCTTAAATACAAACATGATAAAAACCTGATGTTTATAGTTTTAGTGTAGTCTTTTGGAAAATTTTAAGCAGATATTTAGTTATGTTTTTGTGGGGTTAGAGGTTTTATTGAATTAAAAGTTTATAAAAGCTATTTACGGTTTGGAATTATTAAGTCAAAAATGTCGATTAGACAAAGACTTTTTGATGCCGACGAATTTGATATAAAATTACAGTAAAAATTTACAAAGGTTGCATTTTAAATTTGCGCTTGAACTCTCAATTGCTATGTTGAACTGGTGAAGCAATGTATGGATTCTGATCCAAAAAAAACAGCCTAGTGCTGTCGATGGTTAGGAAAGTATTAGTTGATATTTATTTAGATAAGCGTAGTAAACTAAAGTAGTAAATACGCAGTAAATTAATTAATAAAAATTAAAATATTACTAATTTATATTATTAGATAAGTGTAGTAAACTAAAGTAGTAAATGTGTAGTAAATTAATTAATAAAAATTAAAGTATTACTAATTTATATTTTATTAAATAAGTGTAGTAAACTAAAGTAGTAAATGCATAGTAGTAATTTTTAATCAACTATAAAATTGCTATATAAAATTAAATTAGTAATTCCTTATTAGAATCTGTATATTTTTTGGTATTATAATTAATTTAGTAATTCTTTATTAGGAATTGTAGTTATTATTATGAATTTTTTTTCTAATTTACAAATTAGCGAATTTTTATTGGATTATCATGTGATTAATACGTAAATCACCAATTGTTTATTTATTCGATTGTTTTGATTTTTTGTTTTTCTTTAGATATTTGTTTTCTTATACTATAGAGCATATTGTATACAAGACTATTCTGAACTCGATGTAGAAAAATAAGACCACATATAGTTGTAGACGGCCTGGCTATTAATATTATATTCTCTTCTTGTATTTTAGGATGCATCTAAGGTATAGTGGTTAATAGTTCTTGTACAGGGTTGTAAATGCCTGGTCATGTTGTCTCTTAAATTTTAAAAGTTAACAGAGAGACTATTGTCGTTATTTCTACATAGGTGAGGATTTTTTTAATATGGGTTGGTGCCTATGAATATGTTTCTTACCAAAATCTCTTAATATGTAGCCACCAAGTGGCGAGATTTGGTAACTTATATTTTTTTGTAAGGCTAATAACATATCATCTATTAAATAATAAAATTTAAACTATATAATATAAATAAAAAATATATATAAAGATTTTTATTTTTATTTTTTTTTTAAATTATTTTTTTTATGTTGTAAAAATGAGTAATTATCAATTTATTCATATATCTGCTATAACTTATAATTGTTTACCTTGTAAACAAAAATTTAAATATAATAAAACTAAACATAAAAATGATATAAAAAATCGTGAAGATGAGTTTAAAGAAACTGGAAAACCAATTTGTAAATTATGTCAACAACAACATTGGTATTGTTCAAATAATACTTGTACAAATTGTTGTTTATTAAATAAATGTAATAATATTATATGTGATTATTGTAAAGCAAATAATATTAAATGTAAGTGAGTTGTATCAATAACTCAAGAAGCTTATAATAAAATTGCAAATGAAGTTTCTTATATTGGTTAGAAATATGAACCAACTAATACAAAATAATTGTATGTACAAATATATATGCAGTTTTATCCGGAAAAATTTAAAACATTAAAAGGTGCTAAAAAATATTTAAAGAAGATAATTTTTTAATATTTCAACGAAAATTAAATGATACTTCAGTTCAAAATAGAGCTTATATAGCAAACTTGAAAAGATGAACCGAAATGTATAGTATAGTATAGTATATAATACGTTCTGCTAATTCATTAATACAAGATTCTTTAATATTTAATTCTTCTTGTAGTTCTTGTATTTTTCTTTTTCCTTGTTTAATTCTTTTTCCAAATTGTCATATTGATCTTAAAGACTTCATTTTAAATTTTTTGATGTTTTAATTTATGTCTGAGTCATTTGTTTTCTTGTTCAAAGTTTTTTTCATTTTTGAATTGTCTTTTTGAAACCATGTTTTTCTCTTTTATAGTTTAGAAGTTTGGTTAGATACAAAAAAAAAGCATTTTTAAACTGTTTTTCGATTCATTAAAATTATAACATTTTTAAATATTTTTTTAATAATAATTTCTAAAATCTAATTGGTGTATTTTTTTTGAATTTAGATTTAAATTTTGATTTAGAATTACTATATTTAGTTAAAGAATTTTGCTAACTATAACCGGCAGTGATCATCATCAGTATGTAATTAGCCAATATCAATTTGTATAACAAAATAAATTTTTTTTTCAAAAAATGTCAATATCTCAAGAATTCATCTATGAAACTACCTTCGACATTCTAACAAAAAAAATTCCTTGCTAAATTTTGTATATATTTAACACTTTGCTAAAATTTCAGGCCTCGTTTTAACCCTAAAGTAGAGGAAACGAATTTTTATTTTATTTATCGTTATTGGCTAATTACATATCGGTGATGATAACCGCCAGTTCTATTTAGTTTAACTCTTAGTTAAAATTACTTGTGAGAAATTTTTTATTACAAATTTAAAATTTCTATTGTGAGAAAATTTTTTTCTTAAATTTTTATTTATTTACATATTTGGAATTTCTTTATTTGAATTTAGTATTAATTTAGTTTTGGCAAATCAAATTTAGAATTTTAATTCAAATTTAGAATTTATTATTAATATATATTTTATTTTAAAAATTTTTATTTAAAATGATTTTTTATTTTTTTAAAAATATTAAGAAATATTCAAAATGAGAGCTATACACAAAATTCGAAATCATTTCAAAATAAACAATCTTAAAACACGTCTTATTTGTATGATTTGTGAAGCTTCTTATAATATCGATGTCCAGACAACAAATTTAAAAAATTACTTTAATAAACATCATCAAAAGGAATACCAAGTAATTCTTGAAAAAGAAGAAGCTAAAAAGAAACAAATCAAGAAAACTAATTTAAAAGAAAAAAATATAAGTTAATTTTTTGCATTGCCGTTTGAAAATAGTTCAGTTATTCAACAGTCTATTCAACAACAACAAACTAAAATTAATAAGTATACAACTAAAGAATAAATTATTGAAACTTTAGTTTCAAAAGCAGTTGTAAATAAACTAACAAAAAAAAGAAAATATGAAGAAACTAAAGAAAAAACAGAAAAAATAAATAAAAAACTTAAAAGTATCAAGGTTAATGCTGATTTTTCTAGTACGCGAATAGATAATGAGGAGATTATTACAATCAATAGAATGTGTAAAATTAATTTCGAATAATTTTTCTTTTTCGTTTAACTATTTTTTAAAAAATTTATTATTATATATTTATATTTTTTAAATAAATAAATAAAATTACCTCTTGCGGGTATTTTTGATTCTCTTATTTTGAGCCAAATATTATTATGTTTTGTAATGAAATATTTTTTAATGTATTTAATAAAAGATCTTTATATTTTCATTTGCAAATTTCACATTCGAAAAGGTTATCAACCGAAGTAAAATAATTCTAGATTTTATGAGAATTAATTTTTTTCATCATCAAAAAGTAATTTTTATTTGTTAAAAATAATTGATATTAAATATTTTTTTAAATAATACAAAATCTATATTTAAATTTTAATTGGTTAGTTAAATGCTAAATTTTATTTGTCAAAAAAATAAATATCGATAATAAGAAGTAAAATTAAGTATTTGAAACTCATAATTGCAAAAACTTAATCGAAAAAACTTGAAATACTCAAATTTGATTCGCTGGTAATTGATAGAAAAACTCATATTTGCAAAAAACTCAAATCAAAAAAACTTGAAATCCTCAAATTTGAAATCCTCAAATTTGATTCGCTGGTAATTGATAGAAAAAACTTATATTTGCAAAAAACTTAAATTAAAAAAACTTGAAATCTTTAAATTTGATTTGCTGGTAATTAATAGAAAAAACTCATATTTGCAAAAAACTCAATCGAAAAAGCTTGAAATCTTCAAATTTGATTCGCTGATAATTGATTGAAAAAACTTATATCACAAAAACTCAAATCGAAAAAACTTGAAATTGTCAAATTTGATTCGTTGCAAAAATTGTGGCTTAGCTTTAAAAAAAATATAAAAAATATTTATTTATCTTTTTTGTAAAATAAAATAAAAATATGAAGTGGTTTGAAAAATTCCAAGACTTTGAAGTTTTATCTAATTGAACTAAACTACCAATTCTAAAATCACGAAAAAAATCAAATTCCTATCGAGTTGTTGAGATTGATGCAACTTTATTTTTCGAAGTCTCAACACAGAAACCAGAAATTACATTTCTAACTGATCTTGATAATTTTGATTTAATTAAAAATTATTATTGGCATTTTTATAAAGTAGAAAATATATATTATATTAAAACAAAATTTTATTATAAAACTATTTTATTTCATCAAATGGTTAATCTAAGTTTTAAAATAACAGATCATAGTAAGTAATTAATATTAATAAATTTTTAATTAAATTTATTAACTAATATTTTTATTTATAATAGTTAATCGTTGTGGACTTGATAATAGAAAATGTAATCTTAAAAAAATAACATATAGTCAAAATATATTAAATTGTAAATTACAAAAAAATAATACTAGTGGTTATAATAGAATTTATTTTAATAAAATAAATAATGCTTGAAGGTTTCGTTGATATGAAAATAATAAACAAAAAGCAAAATGGTTTAAAATTACAAAAACTAGAATTAGTGAACAAGCAAAACAACAAGCAATCGAATTTAAATTAGTACATGATAAAATTACAGGAAATCGCAATGGCTATTCTGTTTAAAAAATAGATAAAGCAATTTAATTTTATTGGTTCTTAAATAATTTTAAAAAGATTCATTTTAAAATTTAAACAGATAAATTATAAAAGATTTCTAAATTCGTAAATTCTTATTTGTTTATTTAAATAGTTTAATTGTTTTGATCGAAATATCAAATTTATCAACAATAATTTTTTAAAAATAATAAACAAAATGTCTTTTCTTAAAAAAATCTTTAAATTGAACAAAAAACAAACTATTACCATATGAGATATTAAAGAACCATATTTTAATCAAGAAATTGATATTGAACAAGAAGAATATAAAGAAGTTGATTTAGGTTGGGGTGACTTAAAACAAGAAGAAATAAAATGGGACCAATCACCAAAGTCAATTTTCGATCAAGTTGAAGAAGATCTGTTAGAAAAATCTTCAACTATTAGACTACAAGCCAATTTTGAGAATCGATTAGAAGAAAGGTCTGAAGAAATATTAGTTAATGAGACTAATGATTATTATTTTGAGTTAACACTTTTTGTATTAACTTTATTTTTTATATTTATTTCAATTCCTATTAGCTTCACTATAGGAATTTTATTTTTTTATCGATTTAAATTTTTATTATTAAAAGTTAAACTTGCTAAGAGGGATTATGTAGATTATATTAATCCTTTTTTAATTAATTTTTTCCAAGCATCAATCTCGCTATGGTTCAAAAATAGAGAATTGCTTGAGGACATAATTAATAATCTTATTAAAGGTAAAATTAAAATTCAAAATTTTCCATATATTAAAATCTGTCAGATTGAAGATATATGGTATTTGTCTAATAACAGAAGATTATATTGCTTTCAACAATCAATTAAAAAAGAATTAAATATAAAAAAGATACCTGTTAAAGTTTGACGAGTATCAAATTTAAATATTAGTTGGAGGTTGGAGAGAAGTTTAACTGTTAAAAAAAATAAAAATTTTTAAAATATTATAGTTAGTTCTTTAGCAAGCAACAGATGTCCTATAAACAAAAAAGGTGAAGTTTATGAACATTTATATTAAATAATTATTTATTTAGGATTTAATAATTTTGCGCAGGTGCATTGTAACGCACCCCATAAGATCAGGTATAACATAAAATAAAACAATGGTTTGTTACATGATTAGGGTTAGTGTTAGATAAGGTTAGAGTAGACGTAAAAAATGGGCTTATAGTAAAATCTTGCAAGGAATTTTTTTTGTTAGAACCCAAAAGGTAGTTGCATATGCGAAATTTTGAGTTATAAACGTTTTTTAGAAAATGAATGCTTTGTTTTGAATTTTTCTGATCGTATAACGTTACACCCGATCTTACGTTTTAATTGGTTGATCAGGGGGTGCGTTACAATGCACATGCGCTAAATTACATAACCTATTTATTTATATTTTGTATATTTAATTTTGTAAATATTAAAAAACTCTTTCTGTCTATCACTTGTACACAAAATTTCGCCCAAAAATTTTTATGTTTTTCTTAATTTACGGAAAATTTTACTAAGTTAATAACCTTTTTGTCCTTAAACAAACTTGTTCAGCTACTATTTTTACATATATTTATAAAGTTTCAAGTCTTTATCTATCGTCAGTCCCAAGATATTCAACTTTCAAAGTCAGACAGACAAAAGTCTGTTCTCCCCCAAAGTTTTGCCCCTCCCGGCAAACTGGGCTTAATAACATCTTTATATACCATAATAGAAATTGTAGATCTCATCCACAGCTTCATAACAAGCTATAGCATGTCAGTTTTGACCCAAAATTGACATCCCTAGGCTATTTAGTATCAAAACTCCTTTTTTCTTCTCTCCTTAGCCCCAAAAAGTTCTTTCTTAGCTTACCCTATTCAAATCGTTTTTGTGTAACAATCGGACTTGCTAATCCAATTTGTTTATATTCTTGCACACAACTTGCATAATATATCCCCTTTTGGCAACTATTCTTAGCCTTATCCTTAGATAG